CACAGGTGCCTGCCACAACTCCCGGCTATTTTTTGGTTGCAGCCGTCCTTGTTGTTTGGCGGGTCCGGGCTGGGGATTCGAACCCACCACCCTAGGTGTACGTGGCTGGCACCTTAGCTGGTTGAGCTATAGGTGCCGAGCCAGAATTGCTGTATTCTAAAGTGACGATGTTTAGCATTTTGAGAAATTGCCAAACAAAGTGGCTGGACCATTGATTGCTACCAGCAGTATAAGAAGATTTCAGTTTGTCTGCATCCTCTTCACTATTTTTTTTTTTTTTTTTTTTTTTAGACAATCCCAAGCTGTCACCCTGGGTAGAATACCATGGCGTCACAGTTCACAGCAGCCTCAAACTCTTGGGCTTAAGCATTTCTCTTGCCTCAGCCACCCAAGTAACTGGGACTACAGGCGCCTGCTACAACACCCAGATATTGTTTTGGTTGCATTTGTTGTTTGGCAGGCCTAGACTGGGTTCAAACCTTCCAGCTCTTGGTGTATGTGGCTTGCGCCCTAGTCACTGAGCTATGGGTGCCAAGCCTCCAGCACTTTTTGTGTGTGTGTATTTCTGTTTGTTTTTAGTTCTAATTCTCCTAATGGGTGTGAAGTGGTATCTCGTGGTTTTGATTTATATTTCTCTAATGACTAATGATGTTGCGTGTGTTTTTAGGTGCTTCTTGGCCATATATATATCTTTGGAAGAATATGTGTCTAAATCTTTGGCCCTATTTATTTAAAATAGGGACATAGTCTTACTGTGTCACGTGGGCTATAGTATAGTAGCTGTTCACAGGTGTGTCATAGCACACTGTGTCCTCTTAACTCCTGGCCTCAAGCAGTCCTTGTGCCTCAGCCCCCAGAGTAGCTGGGTGACAAGTGTATACTACTATACCTGATTCCTTGGGCCTTGTTTTTTGTTTGTTTGTTTTTGTGTTTTTTAAGAGACAAAGTCTCACCCTGTCACCCTCGGTAGAGTGCCGTGACGTCACAGCTCACAGCAACCTCCAGTTCCTGGGCTTAGGTGATTCTCTTCCCTCAGCCTCCTGAGTAGCTGGACTACTAGCCCACAACACCTGGCTATTTTTTTGTTGCAGTTTGGCCCGGGCTGGGTTTGAACCCACCATTCTCGATATATGGGGCTGGCACCCCACTCACTGAGCCATAGGCGCCACCTTTTTGGGCTTTGTTTTAAGAAAATAATAATTAGGCTGTGGTTGTGCTACCTCAAACCCTAGGGTGGCAGGTTCAAACCTGGCCCGGGCCAGCTAAACAACAATGATAACTGCAACAAAAAATAGCCAGGCATTGTGGCAGGCATCTGTAGTCCCAGGTACTTGGGAGGCTGAGGCAAGAGAATGGCTTGAACCCAGGAATTTGAGGTTGCTGTGAGCTATGATGCCACGGCACTGTACTGAGGGCAACATAGTGAGACTGTCTCAAAAAAAAAGGGGGGGGGGTGGTGCCTGTGGCTCAAAGGAGTAGAGCGCCAGCCCCAGCCAAAAACTGCAAAAAAAAAAAAAGGTAGTAATTAATAATAGTAACTTTTTTTTTCTTCAGTTTTTTTCTTTTGGCTGGTTTGAACCCACCACCTCCAGTATATGGGGTGGGCACCCTACTCACTGAGACATAGGCGCCGCCCAATAACTTTTTTTGAGACAGAGTCTTACTTTGTTGCTCCAGGCCAGTGTGTCATAGCGTCACCTTGCTCATAGCAACCTCACACTCCTGGGTTCAAGTGATCCTCCTACCTTGGGCTACCAAGGAGCTGGGACTACAGGCAACTGCCACATTGCCCAGCCAATTTTTCTATTTTTAGTAGAGATAGGGTTTCACTCTAGCACAGACTGGTCTCAAACTCCTGCGCTCACACAATATTCCTACCTCAGCCTCCCAGAGTGGTAGGATTATAGGTGTGAGCAACTGAGGCTGGCCAATAATTTCATTTTAATTAAAAAATTAATAATAGACTTTATTTTTAAATCAATTGTATAAGCTCTGATGATGCCCGTGGCACTCTATCCAGGGTGACAAAGTGAGACTGTGTCACCAAAAATAAAAAACGATTAGACAAGTTGTTAGAAGCATACTGTATGATGAAATATGTGTATTCTGAGAGACAGTGGCCCATTTCAGAAGCAAAAGACTTACACGACCTCATCTGAAGATCTGAGTTCTGGCTTTATAACCATTTAACTAGTATTTACAGTTAAAGAAATTGAGAAGTTAATCTTAAAATTCTCATGAAAATACAGGAGACACATAAGTAGATTCACATTTCATGATTTCAAAAGTTGCTACAGGCTCAGCACCCATAACACAGTGATTATGGTGCCAGCCACATACATCGAAGTTGGTGGGTTCAAACCCAGCCCAGGTCAGCTAAAGCAACAAAAACAACTGCAACAAAAAATAGCCAGACGTTGTGATGGGTGCATATAGTTCCAGCTACTTGGGAGGTTGAGACAAGAGAATCACTTGAGCCCAAGAGTTGGAGGTTGCTGTGAGTTGTGACACCTTGGCACTCTACCAAGGGTGACAAAGTGAGACTCGGTCTCACCAAAAAAGAAAAAAATAGCGTTGCTACAATGCTGCAGTGTCAAGACTGTCACTTAGCTTCAATAATTATCAGTTCAACCTTGTGGAAAGCCAATTAATTGGCTTCAAGAGTAATATACAGCTTACAGATTAATCATATATATAATGTTTTGTGAATGATTGTGTTTCTTCAAAGAGTAATTTCATCTATGACTTATCTAATTTCAAGTAATGAGAAGTAACAGAAGTAATAGATGGTTATCAAGTACATAGCCTATTATATTGTGAGTGTCCTCCAAAAATGTTTTAAACTGGATTTAGTTTAAGACTCTGAATTAGTAATATGTCTCTATGTTGTATTCAATCATGTAGCATTGATCTATGAATGCTGTGTAACATTTAGACAAAGACATTTGTTGAAATTTACAAGTTTCTAGTGGGGCACAGTGGCTCATATATGTAATAACCAGCATTTTAAGGCCAAGGCAAAAGGATCGCAAAAGGTTAGAAGTTTGAGACCAGCCTGAGCAACATGGCCAGACCCCATCTCTACAAAAAATAAAAATTAGCTGGGCATGGTGGCACATGTACCTCCCAGCTACTTGGGAGGCTGAAGCAGGAGGATTCCTTGTGCCCAGAGTTCGGTGAGCTATGATGATACCATGGCACTCTAGCCCAGGTAACAGAGCAAGACCCTGTCTCCAAAAATAAGGAAAGCCATCTGTCATATTTTATTTTATTTATTTATTTTGAGACAGAGCCTCAAGCTGTCCCCCTGGGTAGAGTGCTATGGCATCATAGCTCACAGCAACCTCCAACTCCTAGGCTCAAGCGAGTCTCCTGCCTCTGCCTCCCAAGTAGCTGGGACCACAGGCGCCTGCCACAATGCCCAGCTATTTTTTGGTTGCAGCCATCATTGTTGTTTGGCAGGCACAGGCTGGATTGGAACCTGCCACCTTAGGTGTATGTGGCTGGCACCTTAGCCACTTGAGCCACAGGCACTGAGCCATCTGTCACATTTTAGAAAGAAAAGCAAAATCAATGGTATAGTACACTAGCTTTGTGATTCTGTTTTTAACTTGGGTCTTTTATTGTTATTTTTAGCATTATGAAATTCATGCGGGCAGAGCAAACAATTTTTCTTTTATGATTACATACTGATTTGGATTTGTTTCTTTTGCACAGAAGGAAATGTACAAATTATAACCAAAACTCTGCCAAAATCCATTGAAGAAGTACAAGGTATGAAGGTCAGTGGCACTAAGATGGATAATAATGAAGGACACAAGAATGGCAATGTGAGTAAAGGTCTTTCAGCTGGGTGCAGCGAATTCCCAGAAGTAAACAAAATCATGACCAGTGGTGAGGTTTCAGAAACCAACAGATTAGTTACCCTAGAGCCTTTAACCTTCGTGGACCCTGGATTAACAGAAGCAACTTCTAACGAGAAAGATTGTGAAGAATTAAAAACTTGTCCTTCTTGGTTGTCATTATTACCAGGGAACAGTGCCATTTCCAAAGTGGACAGTGGGAAGGATGAGTTGTGTAAATTAAACCTTGTCTGTGAAGCAACTGACAATCATCAACAGATTCACGGCCACCATCATGAAAATCACAGTTCTGCACTTGATGGTCCCAGAGCCAGAAGAAATGTTGTTATAGACCCCTTGGAAGAAAATTCTGAAGTTTCATGTTTCACATCAGTTTTGTCTGATCCAGAATGCAGAACATTATCCTTAGAAAAATGTGGTTTTAAAGGAGATGGTTTGCCAAAGGGATCTGCTGAAAAGACAGACAGTTCTTCTTTTGATACGGATGATAGAAGCAAGAACTTGGCTTCTAGGGAAGAAAATGAAGAACTCCTTTTGAATCCCAGGAGTGAAAGAAGGGAACTCTTTCCTGTTATTGCCACACAGCCAGAAAAGGAGATTGGTCATCATTGTTGTGGTGGGAAAAAAACTGTTGATTCTCCAAAAGAAAATATCCTCAATAACTGTTGCATTCAGGGCGGTCTCCATACAGAGAGCTGTAGTTCACTAATGCCCACTTCTTTTACTGAAGCTGCAGAAGTGATGTTTAAAAAGAATGGTTTGAAAATAACTTTAGACATTCAAGAAAACTTGACAAACTCTGAGGACCATAGAGAAACTTTTATTAATATGAGCCATCCATGTAGACACTCTGAAAAAGGCAATTTTTCTTCCTTAATGCAGGTGGAAGAGCCAGAAAAGACAACCACTGTAGAGCCCAGTATGTTAAGTGAAAGGATTTACAGTAAAGACTCTAACTCCTTAGTCAGCATTCAGAAAAATCTGCAAGGTGATACCCATTTAAATGAAGCATCATGTAATGATTTTCTATTTGAAAGAAAATCTCTGGTGAGTTTAATGCCAGAAGATCAGATAAGTCCTATAAATGAGGTTTTAAAGCCCTGCAAAGATACTGTTCAGTTACCACCATCCCCAGAATTTGATTACAGACCTGGGTCGGAAAAAGCTGTACAGACCTCACATGACAGTATTCCTCGTTTAGATGAACAGAGCATTGACTGTGAGATGAATAAACTTTCTTGTACTAGCAAACTGATTATAAATAATGTAGAAAGTGAATGTGTTTTAAATCAACAAGTGTCCCTTAATTCTCTAGATCACACAAAGTTGCCAACTGACTTTCTACAAAATATAAACAAAGAGATGCCTTTAGAAACAAGCAAAGATGCCCAGCCAAGCCATCACCCTTCATTAGAGGATGGAGCAGATGTTTTTACTAATGCCCAAACCATTCCCATTAAGACAAAATTGAAAGACATCTCTCCACCATGTGACAAAATCTGTGGTGCCTCTTCAAGCAGTCCTACCTTAAACATCAAACCAGAAAACCTAGAGAGAAAAAATAAAATGGCTGATTTAAGAACAAAGGATCTACGTTCCAGGTTTCTCTCAAGTAAGAAAGAAGTAGCTGGCTTTCCTCAAGTGGTCTCTGTTGAAGAATGTCAAAATGTTCGATCTCAGGATACCTCTCACCGTCATTGCGTAAGACATAATGTACCAGAGGAGAACATCTTTCCTTCTTGTGCTACTTTTGAGTCCAGCAAAGTCAGCCTGAAAGTTAACAACTCTTTGATAACAAAATATGAAAGTGCATTTCAACACAGCACCAGCCACACTCAAGGGACAGAGGACTCTGTGGAAGATAACAGCTATGAAGTTAGTGGTACAGCAGAGGGAAGTGATCTCGATGGGAAAGAAACTAAAGGCAGCCTTTCCAGAGATGAGATAAAAAATGAAATGATAGCAGTCCTGTTAAATACTGGCATTTCAAACAAAGCTGTTTGTACCAAGAGTCACATCAAACCCAGTGAGGAAAGGTTAGAAGGAGAGAAACGGGATATACCCAAAGAGACTGTACTTTGTAAGTATAACATCTCTGATTATGCTGCACAAGAACTAACTCAATCTGCAAACATTCCAAGTCCTGAAGTATTGTTGGACCAGACTCCTACTGATATGTTTACCAATTTTAAAAACACAAACAGAGCAGCTGAAACTTTTGATCACAAGGCAGATGAAGTTCTTAACTGCCAGAGTAATTGCCAAAACAAACCTAATAACGGCAGAAATGAAGACAAACCAACTAAGGCGATGCTAGGTAGTAACCAGAAAGACACCATCACAGATCCTAATGGGACAGTACGCCATCACAGAAAGGATCTGCCGGTCATTTCAATCAGTAATATCCCACAGCTTTGTGGTAGACCAAAGAAAGGTGATTTGAAAGGAGACTTTGAAATTATTTCTGGTTGTGAAGAGTCCACAGACGGTATGATGGATGCCATATACACAGACTGTGGTAATAAACCTGCAGGAGGCATGTTGGCCGTGACAGCATCTAGTGTACTTGACAGTGTAGCAAGGCCAGATAGATCGCGATTTGTGGAAACCTCGAGCAGTACCTTGTCTCAGAGAGGAGAACCGACTGCTGCATTTATGGGAAGGACTGACCAGGGCTCAGATTTCCCAGATGCTGCTGGTTCTACAGTGGAGTCTCTTGAAATAAAAAAATCATGTGAAGAGAGACCATGTAGATCTTTAAAAGACTCCGAAATGGAAAAGTGTTCAGAGATAGAGCCTATTTCAGATCATGAACCAAATATAAGAATATTGGATGGAGTAAATGTGTCTTTAAATTATAATCATCATAAACAGCTAAGTAAAGGAGCATCTCTGAGAGAAACAGAAGAAGTGACTGAAGGATCAAGATTAGAAGTAAATTCTGGGTTTGACAAAGAAAATGCCATTGAAGTTTCCCTGCAAGACTTGATGTTTTCTAGGTGCCAAGAAGAGAACTCTCTTTCCCTAGGCAGCCTAGAATCCGTTGAGATAATGCATTTGTGTCTGTCTGCTCAAGAAAATTCAGAAACTAATATTAATAGTGAAGGAACTGACCTGAAAACTCCATTTAAACCAAAAGTTGATGAAATGCTTCATGAAAATGTAAAGGACTGCACAGTCCTGCCCGAAATGAAGGAAGGAATACCAAGAGATACAAATAATTCTAGCAGAGAAGGCAGCATATATATCAGTGTGGAAAAGAATGCTCACAAACCTGGTCATTCTCCTGAGAATTCCACACATAGGCATTTGCCTTTGACAATGAAAACAGAATCTAAAGTGATAGGAAAAGAAACTGAAGAATATCAGAGGGAACCACTGGGTTGTTTACCTGTTGGGAAGAAATCTGAAGAGATGGTTATCAGAGATAATGATACTGCTTGTATGAGCAAGATTTCTCAGACTCACTCCCAATGTCAGAGAATGCTTGGTGATGCTGGAAAACACCAAAGCCAGAAGCATTTGGAATACATGTCACAGAAAGAAGAATGTTCACATTGGAACGAAGCACATTCAATATTGAAACAATGTGTATCATCTAACATGTTGTTAGACAATGCCCAAAACAAGAACCAGCCTGAGATTGACAAAGATGTTTCTGCCATGATGAAAGAAATCACCTTAGCAAAGCTGGCCCAGGTGGACATTGCTGCCCTTACTCAGAAGGTGGAAAAGTTAGGCCATCCTCTAAAGAAGGACATTGAGTTGTGCATAGGTCCTTGCCTTCCTGGTGCCTCCAGGAAAGCACAAGACCCTAACACTGCTAGGTGTGATCAGATACATGGTGCCTTTGGGAAGAAAGAAATACTTCCCTTAAAGAAGCAGCCCCATCGAACATGTAAGAAAGTTTCCCGTCAGGAGCAAGTCAGTGTGGGGAGAAAAATAAGCAAAATTAGAAGTTCTGCCTTTGTAAAGAGTTCCTCTGATCCCATCTCCACAAAAGTACATAGACTTCTTAGTTCAAGCGCTGTGTCTCCACCTACACAATTAGAACCCAAAACACTGCCTGCCAGTAGCTTGATTAGCCACATACCAAAGCAGAAGGCTACACCATGCCATCCTTTGAGGAGCATGAATTTTAGGAAGCCTACCAAAGAAGCAGCCTTATTGAACAAGCTGTCCATCCTTGCCTCTAGACTGGCCCCAGCCGCAAAGATCCAGAAACTAAGATATCAGCGGTGTTCCTCTGAACTTCTTCCAGTGGCTAAAACCTACAAGCGCCTCAGATATAAACGGTTCCTGGATGGATTTTCATACAGTATGACACAGCTGAATCCATATTTGGCAGCTAGTGGATGGGATAAGAGGCCTAACAGTAAGCCGTTGACATTTTATTCTCTTGAAGCCATCAAAATGAGCTTCATAGATTTGAGCAACAAGATGCCATCGCTGCTCTTTGGTTCTGAAATCTTGCCAGTATCCTTTCACATGAAATCAGGCTCAGATTGTGTGGCTGGGTCCTCCAGGACTTTTCCCGAGCACTGTGCTCCAGCAAGGCTTGCCTTAGGAGAGGTCCCCCGGTACCAGTCACAGCCTTCCAAGTGGACCTTTTCTTTCTTCTTGTCCCACATTTGCCCTGGGATGGCCACATTCAGGGAAGACGCTGGCCTCCATAGTCAGGCACACACTCAGGCTCCTCCACAGCCTCCCGCTTCTCTCCAAGACTACGGAGGTACTGCCATAGTCCAGACCAGAGCAGACTGCTCTGTCCTTGGCCTTCACACGCTTCTAGCACTTTGTTCCCCAGGATGTTACCGAATCTGGACAAAAAAACGGAGCTTCTCCAGTCACATGCCTTCCATGCAGAGGCTCTTCATGACCCAGTTTACACAGGGCCTGAAAGGGTTGAGGTCTCCAGCCTCCATAGCAGACAAGGTCTTCTGTTCTCTGCCCTACTCAGTGGGCAGAGTGCTGTCCATTTGGAGTCAGCATGGGCCTTCTGCCTGCTCCTTCGAAATCTCTGCTCTTCATTCTACTCCCAGCAAGCAGCAAACAAGTTTGGGCACTGTGAGCAGGTAAAATCTGTCCAATTCTTTGCAAGTACCCTATGATTTGCTTCCTGGCACTGGGGAGAGGGGGGTAAAGGGGCTCGCTAGAAATGCAAAGCTCTTTGGAGTCTTCTTTGTATCTGCAGTTCCTGTTTATCTTGCCACATCTCTACTGAGAAAACACAGCAGTAATTCTTCAGTATAGCTCCCCCACCCCGCCATTCTCCTGTGGAATCTACCCCTCTATTGTGCACCATTCTTTTTTTCTATCCATTTTATTCTTTAAAATATGAAGTCTTTTGGATCTTCTTTTCTCCACTTGCCCCCACCTTACAAAGAACAAACACGTATTACAAGTGGAAAAATATAAATAGAGACAAATAATTGCTGTAACTCTTGTGTTGATCACAAAGTACAGTCAGCACCTAACTGTGTTGTGCAAAAGATACAGGATCAATACTTGGTAGTAAATGGATACTTTACAAATCTGACTGATGAACCTCTGCATTTCTTCTGCAGGGGAGAGGCTTTACATTTTGTATTTTAGTTTTAGGATTTGTAGAATTTAAAGTGAACTGGGAAGTTCTTGTGGTTTGACCACTGAGAATAGTCAAAAATAATTTCATTAATATTATGCTTTCTAATTGGAAATAATAGAAGAAAAAGAATCTGGAGTTAAACTACTCATCTTAAGAATCCCTAAAGAAGTAGCCTGTGCAGTGGCTCACACCTGTGATCCCAACACTCTGGGAGGCTGAGGCAGGAGGATTGCGTGAGCTCAGAAGTTTGAGGCCATGGCTCAGCACCTGTGGCTCAAGTGGCTAAGGC